TCTTTCAGTTGACAGAATGGCTTACTCCAATTTCAACATTTTTGATTAAAGTCATTTTAGTAATATTTCTAATTAGACCATTTATAATTTCTGTAAAGACAGTTGATTCCGGAGTAGGTGATTGCAGTGTTTAAATATAGAACTGTGCATAAAATTATAATTTTCCCACTAGAAATACAATTAAAATTAATAACAAAAAATGTTGGAATCGCAGTTAATCATTCGGTCTACTGAGAGGCTCATATATATATATATATATATATATATATATATATATATATATATATATATATATTATATTTTATATATATATATATATAAAATTAAAATATTCGGAACTATTTCAATATTTGTATTCTTAGTTAGACTTAAAAACTTAAAAAGATCGAATGAAATTCTCTCTCTTTTTTTTATTTTCTAGGACCAATCCGTAAATATTACTGTTCCTTATGTACTCGATACTTTATTAAATTGATATCCACTGTTTAATTTATTTTTTTAAATCGCTACTCTATTTTTGCCACGGGTTTGTAACATTGAGTCACCTAAATCCTTGTAAAATTAGAACTTGATCTGAATATTGTGGCAGGTGGGATGATTTTTTTTTTTCGATTTTGGACTAACCCGTTCGGTTAATCATAAAAATGTATAAAACAACATTTGTTAGGCTCGGAAAGTTGAATCAAATGACACCTTGAACGGGAAGACCGGATAAAGTTGAAAAAAGAGTTTGTTTACCCGCGTTTTAAGCGACAACGCGTTACAGATTTCGGATTTTTCACGTTGAGTTGTGATAATTTTTTCCACCAGTTGAATAGTACAACTTTCAAATGTGACTCGCGGTAGACTAGGGATGAGAAGTAAGTAACTACCTAATCTGGATCTCTAGACAAATTACTCAAGAATTCATAACTTTGGTTCTACTCAATATTTTGTTTTCATTTAAAGCCTATGTTTTAAGTCAAGAAAACCTAAATATAATGTCAAAATCTCAAAAATGTACCATTAGCTATTGATGAGCTTACCTATAACAAAATGTCGTTGGACAATGCGGACAAACAGACAGACAAAAAATTTTTTAAAAAAATTGATTTGGTTTCTGTAATGTATGAATCGGAAAGATGTCATGAAATGGGTTGATTTTATTCAATGTACAGACAAAACCTTCATTTTATTTATATAGATGACCACATTGGAAAAAAATAAGTTAAAATTATTAAACTAAGTTGGTACCATTTTCCTGTTTCTTTATCAGGATAAAGATCTTGGCCTTAAATTAAAGGTTCTCCCCACTCCTCCTCTCTTCCACTCTTCTTCTACTACTCCACTCTTTCGTAGTTTGTGCCATCAGCACCTGGTCAAGGTATATGTCTATTGACCACAGGCGGATCTACGGGGGAGGGGAGGGAGGAGATTTTGAGATTTTAGTATTTTACCCCAAAATGATAAAATATATCCATGTCTTATGAAATAAATATCAAAACATTATCTCAAAAAGTATTATTGTTCGTGTAATTATATTTAATAGGACTTCTAGAATCACTTAAATACGATTTCATATAGGTAGTTAGATAGTTTCTTTATTTTTCCCAAAGTAATAATTAATATATTAAGCTTTCGGGCTGAAGTCCACCCCTAAAAAAAATTAAATCCTGGATCCGCAAGTGCTATTGACTTTAGTATATTTATTCGTTATGATTAAGTAACTATTTATTTTAAAATAGTCATTTAAAGTTCATATACACCTGAACTCAGACTAATATTTGTTGATTTTTTTTTTAACCTCTAAGCTGATGTCATGGTGACGTCTGTAATATTCATGATGACATTGGACACTTTCAATGCCAACCAGATACTTAAATATTAATGATGTGTTGAATAATAGCATTGTATAATTGGACGAGCTGACTTGAGGATATTATCACGCTGATACAACTCCGAACATCGCATTAACTTCTTTATCAAATCAAAATTCAAACTTACAAAGGAAGAGATAGGTAGTGTCTGAATCAGAAAATTAACTTCAAGTATTCATTCTACACAAGTGTTACACATTTTACTATTTTATTTTATCAGTCCCCTTAATAGGCTATCTTTCGAAGACATCTTAACGAAACACCTGATCAGAAGAGACGTACTTCCATCATACTTTATAATTTATTAAGAGTCTTATAAAATTCTAATCAGTTGATTGCTACTTATAACTCATATCTTGCTTTAATATCACTACTTTAGGATGCCTTTATTGCACTTTTTACAAGATTTTGTTATTTTATCATATCTGCTTATTTATTATTAAATATTAAAAAGAAAAAAAATGGTGTGGTGCCCGCATCATACAATTTTTACCTACAACGCTACTACCTAATACGCTCCTTTGAGTAAAAATAAATTGGTAAGTGAAAGAAAAAAACCTAGATAATGCAAATAAACCAAGAATTGAATTTTTTTTTATTAAAGAAATTTACAACTGTATTAAATAATGAATACAACAAGTAAACATGAACAAGTAACATGACATGTACAACATGAAGAGAAACTACCCATTGGTAGTACTCCAATTGAAGTTATTATGGAAGTCTTTAAAAAAAAAATTGTTTTTTGTTCCACTTTAAAAGTTTCTCTAAACAGTTAAAGAAAAAATTCTAAAGAACTTTTCTGTAATAAAGTTCTTGGTTAAAGGTAAAAGTTTAACTTTTATTTATTAAAGTAAAAAAAAAGTTACGTTAAATGTGAAATAAACTTGGACTAAGATTAGAGTTATAATTAACTTAAATTAATTACTTGATTCAAATGTGGGATAAATTGAGTGAAAAAAAAAAATTTTAAGTCATTTTTAGATTTGCTATATGAAGAAATCAACATAGTTTCTAAATACAAGTTATTATTTTTTAAATAAAAGTTATGGAAAAACTTTACTTGAAAAGTTACAAGAGAAAAAGTTCTAGTTCTGAAATAACAGAAAAACTTGAAAATGAAGATTCCAATTATACCGAAACTGATTAAAAATAAAAGTAAAAACATCATTTCAATCCCTTATTTAAAGAATTAATTATTATATTAGTGGCCTCATATCAAAGACGGATATCTGTCATTTTTTAAAAAATGAGAAAAATCCATTTATTGAGAAAAATTTAAATTTTTGGCGCATAGCCTTAATTTAAACTAATTTTAAAGTATTTGTTTCATGATTCAACATGAACGTTCTTAAATAAAACCATCGGAAACAGTTCGAATCGTACCTATAAAACAAAAATTGACTATCTCTCTCTCTCTCTCTCTCTCTCTCTCTCTGCTTTTTTAGAATGACGGATGTCCATCTTTGATTTAAAGCCACTCAATATGTTTTTCCCTTACCGTTTAATCTATTAAATGTATGGATTTTCCACAAGGTTCATTTCCGCCTATGACTATATACTTTAGTCTAAAAATATTTTAGATATTATTATGTTTTTTAATTCTTAGTTTTCCAACAGTGTTCTATATACTATTTTCATCTCTAGACATATGTTTTCAATCTACGAAAATATTTTTCCTGTTTTCTTGTTCAGTTAATCAAAGAATTATTCCGTTGTTTATATTTATCCATTTCTATTAATTCTATGTAATCGTTTATTTAGAGCGCTAGCGGATCCAGGATTTTGGGGGGAGGAGGCTTCAGCCCAAAAGATCTTTTTTTCGAATATCTAACGATAATTAATTTGAAAAATAAAGAAAGAAATTAACTACTTATATGAAATGGTGTTGAAGTGATTTTTGAACTCATATTAAATGTAATTACACGAACAATAATACTTTACTTTTTTTCTATAAAATATGGTTTATATGTTACTGTTTTGGGAGGGTTTCAGTCCGAAAGCCCCCCCTTCCGTAAACCCCCCTGTGATTTAGAGCTAACAGCATTAAATATATAATATAATGTTTCAATAATTTTGTTTATCTTTCAGTTAAAGTTAGTTTTTATAGTGTTTATAGTTCTAGCGGATATAGGGAAGCAGCGCTGGGGGGAGGGGAGCGTGGCCCCTCGTTTTCTCCGGATGTTGAGAAAAAATTTGATCGTGAAAAAAGTTACTAAACAACCGGCACATATATTATTTTTATTTCTATTGAAAAATGAATTGTGTTAGACAAATAATCATTATTTATACTTGTTGCTCAAAAACAACGAATAATTTAAAAAATTATAATATTTTCATTAAAAATTCTTCATTCATTGGCGAAATAGCTGAATATTGTAGCTGAAAGTAGTTGCTAGAATGCTCTGATCCCTTGAATGTGTGTAAAAATTAAGCAAAAATCAGGTTTCAGGTTCATAAACACCAATTATTTTAATTTTATTTATTGTATAAATGGTTTTTATTATTCTTTAGTTGTTATTGTGATCCTACAATTAAATTTTCTACAAACGATGAGGATCAGGATCTCAAAGTACAAAGAGAAAAATAGGAAATCTATAAAAAATGCTTACCTTACCTGCTAGAGAAATATAGAGAAAATTTTGGTGAGAGAGAATATTCGGTTCGGGGAACCGAACAGTTTGGAAGAACTGGGTGTTTAAAGGAACCATCTGCAGAGTATGGCGGAATACATTATTTTAGATCCATTGGGAATCCTACACCACCATTTGTATTAATTCTGGCTGCTTTAGTGTGGACTTAGAGGACAAAAGTGAGAGTGAAGAAAACGAAAAAAAAGATGTAACAGTGAATGAATGAATTATAACATTCGATACGTTGGATGATGGTCCCGTAATGTTTTATCATATGAGTTATATTTTGTTAAATGGTATCGATTTTGACTGATATGCTGAGTGATTAAGCAACTAAACTTAGTTAAGCAGCAGTACAATTTGCTTTTCTTCGAATATTGTTTTCTTTGTTAAGTACCTACCTACATGATTTTTTGCGGATTCAAAATTTCAATTTTAAGAACTTATAAAAATATATTTTAAAATACTTATAAAAATACATCTGTAATTTTATTTTTTGCCTTCTTTGTAGGATACGGACATATCGCGCCTGTAACTACGACCGGAAGGGCGCTGACCATAGCCTACTCCATCATCGGGATACCGCTGTTCCTTATCGTCCTGGCTGACTTCGGCAAGATGTTCACCAGGGGAATCAAGTTCGTATGGGCCTTCGTCAGGAGGGTTTACTACACCGGAAGCTGCAGGAAAGTTCGCAAGGCGGCTCCTATGCAGGTATCATTTCCTCTTTTATCAATTAAGGAACCATTGCTAGCTTTAAACAGATAATATTACCATGGCATACGCTAATCGTATCCTTAATGCCTCCTTAACAATGTGCCTTGCTCTATAGCATTATGTTAAGCAAAAGGTTAAACAGATTCATGTTATAGCGACTTACATTCAAGTGAAATATGCCTGTGGCAAAAATGTCAAATAGTCTGGTATATGAAATGAAACTCGTAAAAAAAAGACGTATGTTATTATTTTGTTTCTCTCCTTCTCTGCCTATTAGACAATACGTGCGATTGCAGCAGTGGGATGTCACTCATTAAGTAAAAACCCACTGCTGCAAGTAAATCTTCAAAATTAGATCATGCTGTGCACACAGCGTATACAATTCTATCTGAGAGTTCGGCTATCGTCCTCTTCTGTCCCTCCTGTGTGCGGCGGCCTCTCTGATACATTTCCTTTTGTCCGACCCAAGAAGAAGTGGTCTAGATATAATATATAAATTATATATATATATATATATATATATATATATATATATATATATATATATAAGATATATATATATTCTTTGAAGTGAGGATAATTTTCTTTGTTAACGAGCCGAGAGAACTCATTTTCCCTTAAAACAAGCCAAAGGAGGAAAGCCAACAATTATATTTGGATCATTTTATGTTCACTCTAAACAATAAGACGAATGATGACTAGCAAATCTGATGGTACCTTTCGATTCCTTCTCCCCATAAATCTCTATACCCGCTGCTGAATACATACTAAATGTAAAGTACATGCTACTGAGTACATGCTAAATCTAAAAACCTGATATTCATAGATTGCCATAATCTCAATTATTAATATTCCAGGTGATAATCAAGCCATGTTTGGCTCTATTGCTTTTTTTTTTTTTTTGTCATTATCCTTTCCTTAACGTATCCATTAAACTGACTTTGTTATTTTGATTTTAATGATTATTTTTATGACATATTGTTATGTTTATTTCTAATAAAATGTATAAGTGTGGTCCAAATGGATTTTTATCCTTTATGCGTTTTCTCATATATTATAATATATTTAGATCCATTTGTATGACAGATATAATTTCAATCCCTTGACCATTTGCAAGTAACCCCGTTACACACTGATCTCAGTACACTTTTGTACCAGAGGTTAATTAATTGTGATTGAATACTTGGAAATCGGAGATACTCTTAGAATCGAAGATATTTTTTCCAATACTCAACGTTTTTAGGAACCATTAAAGTTCACCCCTATCTGAGATACTTTGGGATTATTGTAAATCAGACCATGCCATAAAACGAGGTAATATCTTGTTTAACCATTCTCTGCCTTTTAGATAATTCAGATTTGATAGTTCTGGGCTGTTAAGCATTACTGTATAAAATCCCACTCCTGCAATAAAACCTTAGATTATACAAGCAACTGAGCAAACGCCATAAATGTTTATGTGTCCGTCATATATTCCAGTGTTCTTCCAGGTGCGGGTGCTCTTCTTGCGAGATTGAAGTGACCTGGGCCTACAGTTGCCTTCCACCGGTACACAAGTTCTGGTAGTACTGGTAGTATCCTTCTGTTGCTAGCTGAAGAAAATCGTTCTCTGCACAGAAACCTGTTTTCCCAGCAATTTGGTCCTTAGATACTCAAAGGTGGGCAGCTCATGATAATGTGCTAAGCAGTCTGCGGAAAGCCACATCTAGGGTATAGAAGATGGATTTCTTTTCCAAGGCCATGAAGCTTAGCTTGACTGTGAGGAATTGGAGTAATGTGGAAGGATCCACTTGGCTTTCAAACATATCTGGGCGATGAACAAGTACTTTCTTAAGGTGTCCCCCTTTGGACTTTTCCCTCGCCATTAATCCTTCAATTGCATCTTCCTGGATGATAGTTTTTCATTTAATGTGGTTTTCGTCAATCCTCACTTTGAGTTATCCCGACAGACCTGCTGAGCCTTCTTTCTTGTATTTTTACATTAACATATCTTCTCCCAGGCGGAGAACAATTGCACCGCCTCATGGGATACTGTCCGATACGTTCTTCTAAGTACTCTCTCCTAGCCGTTTGCTTAGCTATAACGAGGTGATACCCAAAGCAAAAACTATATCTTTCGACTCTATATCGATCATGATACATCTCTTGTCAGAAAATAATTTTAATCCTTCATATTCTTCCGAGTTAACAAATAACTATGTATACGGTGTGAAATACCTCCATTAAATGCTCTAAGAGAATCATGACTCGCTGCGGGCAATGTATTCGAGAGATTCCTGGCCAATCACTATCAGGAGCTCAAATACTTTTTCTACAACTCCTTTCAGCGACAATACTTCCTTAGTTACAAACCATGCTCCACTGTGCTCTTTCCTCCAGTTTTCTTATAATGTTCTCTCAGGAATACCCTTCACTATCTTAAGTATTGTATCGTCGGCACCATGTTAAAGTACCGAATGTGACCCTGTTTTATGTTACACATATCGTTGCTTTAACATGGTTCCAACGATATGTTATATGCTATATATGCTATATATTGTGTTATATATTATTACAGGAGGTGATGAAGGGGGTGCAGATCATGTACGACCTGGCCCACCTGCGGAGGCCCTCCCAGGCGGGGGCGGCGCCTCCCCTGCCACCGCGGGCCCCCACGTCCCCGTCCTCGGCCCCGCCGACACCAGCGCTCTCTACCTTCGCCATAGACGACGAGTTCAACCTTCCGATATCCGTGGCCATCTTCATCCTCTTGATTTACATCTTCTTCGGAGCCGCCGTGTTCTGGGTATGGGAGACCGACTGGACCTTCTTCGAAGCCTTCTACTTCGTCTTCATATCCATGTCTACCATTGGCTTCGGTGATCTGGTTCCACAGGTGAATTATTTATTACTTGAATATTTTTTTTTTAAAGTATGATAATTTCAAATGTATGGGCTATTCTCAGAGAAAGTATCAATCCGAAGCTTTAAAAAACATGATAAGCGTACATAATATAAACATATAAATATAAACATTTTCTGGGGTACCTAGACAGTTCTCCTGGGTATATTTCGTACTCAGGCGGTTTGAGAAAGGAGTATGTGTTTAAAGAGGAGATGTTTTCTAGAAGGAGGCCTCTTAAATTGCAAATGATTTTTCAAAATTTGAAAGCAGTTCGGTGAGGAGGGGGATAGAGGTCGGAAGTGCGAGATCTAGTAAGACGGGAATGGATGGAGTGTTTAAATTGTAAGCTATGGAAAATATAGGAGGGTCGATGAGTTCTAATGATCTGTCTACAGAAAGTTAGCTAGGAAGTACTGACGGCGATAGGATAAATGCGTAATGTCTTGAGATTCCGAAAACAAAACGTAATGCGCAATTCATTAGGCGTTTAAGTTTGGTCTCGAGATCTCCCAAAAGTCCACCGTACACCATACAGCAATATTCGAAGTGGGAGAAAACAAGAGAGGAAACTAGGAGTTGGCGGGACTTATATGGAAGGAGATAACGTAGGCGATTGGACTGTTTTAGGGTGGAGATAGTGCGTCGGGAAATTTGGGAGATGTGTGGTTTCCAGGAGACGATTTGATCAAAAGTAACACCTGGGTTTTCAACGATAGTATGGAATAGATAGGTGAGTTATTCAAGAGAAGATTGAGGGATGTCGGGAAGGATTTGAGGAGTGCGGGGGATCCAATCAAGATGGCTTTGGTTTTCTCAGCGTTCAGAGTGAGCCTGTTGAGGTTTGCCCATTCACTTATTCTATTAAAATCTTCTTGGAGTTATATAATGCCATCTGAAGAATCGGTCGGATTGAAGGAGAGATAAATCTGAACGTCGTCGGCATACAGGTGGTATTGACAGTGCAGGATTGAGGATGGGAGGTCATTTATATAGATGGAAAAAATATGTTTGGAAAGTAAGTTGAGAATGCAGTCGACAAAAAACAAAACCAAAATTTTTAAAATTTATTTCATTCTATACCTAAGTTTCAGACCTTCATCAGGATTCCTACGTAAAAGAGGGTATAAACATACTCTGTATACACACACTCGGGCTCCTAAAAAGGCTCCCGAACTTTTTTCCCTTTTCTTTCTTTTTTCTTTGTCCTCGCGTTTTATGCGATACTGGGTTTTTCCAGGACCAGAGGAGTGAGGGGAAGAACTTCAGGCTTAGAAGCTCCTCCGATACCGGGACGAGAATTCATAATTATCTTATCTTGTTAACTTCATTTAATTAAGGTTGCTGAGTAGCTCGTGTTTTGTAAACTGTGACATCGATTGGAAGTTACTTTCGCGATAGTTAACAGATAGTTGAATAGTAATGTGTTTTAATATTTTTATGGGACTGTTAGATTTAAGAAAGAAGATCTGATTCGGGCTAGGTTATCGAATTACAATTCGACGTTTAAGTTTTGTTATTTTAATTTACAATATCGAGTCATTTAATCAAATCGATGTCGAATGCAGATAAATGTTTGGTACTTTATTAGAAAAGTTTTCATTTAATTGCGAAATTGTTGATGTTATGCAGGAAATACCCACAGACTGCGTTAGATACATTCTGGAAAAATGGTCAATACATATAAAAGAGTGAGATTCAAGTCACATTTTTAAACAATACAAATTATATAAAGAAATTCATTCAAAGAAGGCTTAATAATCCGTGGTCAGGTCCTTTTTTATTAAATTATTAACATCCGCCAAGAACTTCGTGAACAGCTCAAGTTTCTTAGAATTGCGGCATTTTCAATCTGGAGATCGACAAACTTTGGCAAACTAAAACGCATGAATACCCATTTGCTTTCCACTTCAATCTACGATATCCACAAAATTAAGGAAAAAAATACTCGACAACTATTTTTTGGTACAATATTGAGCCGTTTAGCGTCACCTCCATACTAAACACGTAAAAATAACAAGGTTATATAATCCAAAAGGCCCAATATTTTTGTAGGCCACTTTTATTTTCGATTTTGAGATAAAATTATCTTAGGATTCAAGTGGAAAATGGTGGGTGTTCATGCGTTTTAGTACCTAATAAAATTAATTAATTTAACGATGAAACGCCCATTTTCGAGAATTTTGGTAGATAAAAATTTGTAGGTCTCGATAAAATAAAATGAAGCCATTGACGAAGTTTTAGGCGGATGTTAATAATTTGATAAAAAGAGTACCATGGACTAGAACTTTCCAAAGGTAAAATGATGTCACAGCTTTAATCATTCCTCGGTTGATTTAAGAAATAAATGTTTATGTAAATATAATAGGACGTTTATACATATTGATATTAAGTAATTATCAGTTCCTGAAATTAAATTAACACCAAATGTTACAACAATATTCAAACCTATTTCCTTTGCATTATGAGGCCTTATATACATATAATTATTAAAACTAAATAAATTTAAATTATCATTGGTAAATATTTTTTTTAATTTTATAGAACCAGATGTACATGATGGCTTCGATCATCTACTTGGTGTTTGGTTTGGCTTTAACATCTATGTGCATCAACGTAGTCCAGGTAAATCTAACTAATTAGAAATGTACCTTTATTCATACTCATCTGTAAACTGTAAGTATAAAAAAGAACATCTTGGAGAACAAATATAGTGGAACCTCAGTATATCGAACTTTAATATTACATATCGAGATTTTTTTTTTCTATGTGAATATTCTTATAAAAAAATAAAATAAAATGATTTACTAAAAATATTCACATAGAATGTTAAACAAAATAAAATATGCATCTTGCAAATACATTGTAAGAAACAAATACAGATTTTCTTTGTTTTTCTCTTTCTCTCTTCATTCTTTTTTTTTTATTTTTTTTTTATGATCTGTACAGTATGGACCCTCCGTCCATCGTATCGTCACCTAATCGGGTCATCATTTTTTTTTAATTTATAAATAGGCATATATTATTGTATTATAATACAATAATACTGAAATATACGAGAAGTGTAGCTACAATTACGTTGCATTTATGTCATATTTTTATTACAGTTATATTATAGATAATAGCTGATTAGTAATAAGTAATCATGCTTAATATTTCATTAAAATTTAATGTTTCAACTAGATATTTTCTGTACCTTAAGGCTTGGAATATATATTTATTTACCCTTTTTTTTAAAACAATTTTTACCGTTATGGAGCTTTGCTTAACGTAAAGAAGTAAATATCTAATCTTTTATAGAATGCTCCTCATATAAATGCTTTTATCTTAAATATATTTTTTCAATTTAGATAAACCTCTTTTACATATTCTTGTGATGATATCCGTCATTAGAATTGTCAATTAGTGATTAAGACAAATACTACTCAAGTGCAGTCACTTATTGAAAGTAGAAAATTGGATAGACAATTTATTTTCTCAAAGCATGTAAGGAAAATGACTCGAGCTGACACAGCAGAAATCACACTCGGATTTATTTTTAAGGCCCAATAATACACACACACACATATATATTTATAATATACATAATATTTATATATATATATATATATAATATTAAATATATATAACATTTTTTTTCGGTTGCATACGACCATGAGATCTTTGGTCGCGATATATGGTCTGCTTACAGATGTATATTTCTTGCGGGAGCTCTGATATTCTGGAGGGGGTCACCCAACCTCACGTTGTTACTAACCATGGTCTCCATGGTGAAGCGGCAGGCCACTCGTAGCTTCATAGCCGATCCCTTTGGGACCAATCTGGCAGTGTCCTTCCCACCGACTCACACGGGTTCAAGGACAGTGACAAGAATTATGTTATGACAAGGGTTCAAGATGTAAGGATTATGGCTGCTCGGAGTCAGCAGGCGCACGAGGACCTGTATTTCTTCTCTCGGAACAGACCGTCCAAGGATCGAACCTCAGGGGGGCTACTAACACATCCTGGTAAACCATACCCCGATTCCCGATTTAAGTACACGGGGTAGGGTCATCAGTCCTACGCCCAGTCGGCGTGAGTTACCTCCAGTAGGCTGACGGGGGGAGGGAGGAGACTCGGGAAGCATGGCTTTCCTTGGCAGACGGTAACCCATCCAAGTACTAACCATGCTCGATGTTGCTATACTTTGATTACCTATTGCTAGTGCCTTTGTCCGTACGGCTACTCCAGCCCATATATATATATGTGGGTGTGTGTGAGTGTGTATATGTGTGTGTGTTTGTGTCTTTGTGCTGTGCCATCCATCGTTCTTTCTGTTTTTTTAGTATTAAGAAAAGTGAGAAAATATGTATATTAGTTATATCCTGTTAAATTGATCTAATACCAAGAAAACTCTTTGAATTAACTAAAATTAGTATATGCGGAATATTTAAAACAATAAGTTTGAATTTTTTTTTTGATGATCTTGAAACATAAATATAGACTTTTTTTTAAATTTTAATCTTGGACTTTTAAACAAAACAAAAATTCAACTGTAATTTTTCAGGAAAACATTTCAAGCACATTTAAACAAGCAGTCCATAAAATAAGCACTGTGGTGAAAAAATCAGGAACTGAAGTAAATATTGGAATTCAAACAAATGAAAATGTAAAAAAGAAAGATAAAAGTTTTAAATTATTTCAAAGTTAAAGTTTTAAATTCATTTTCTTACATTTCATGAACAATACTTCTAGACTTGGAACTCTCAACAATTTATTCAGAAATAATATGTATTATATATCCAGAAATATATCATACGTTATAAAAATGAAAATTATGAATTACTTACAATAGCTAATAGATTTATAGAAATTAGATAAATTAAGACTGGGGGACCCCTCCGAAAAACGGTTTAAATCGTCAAGAAAATATACAATCATAGTATTTCTTTATTTATTTGCTTATTTTTTTTTTTTTATTGAAAAATATTACAATCTGTCTCAAGGACATTTATAATAGTGTTCACAGATCACATTCACACTCTATGTACAGTAAATAAAATTATTTGCTTATTAAAAAAAAATTTCGACTTTAATATTTTAGGAATAAATCTCATGGACATTTTGTTTGAATTCTAGTAAATGAAAATTAAAAAAAAAAGAAATAATAAGTTTCAAATTTACATGACTGGTTCATTTTTTTACAATTCATAAACTAAATTCCGAGTTTAGAATTTTTCTGAAATAAAGTGTATTCTACATCCATAAATATATCACATGCTACCAAAATGAAATTTATGAATTACTTACTATAGCTACTAGATTTATAGAAATTACATAAATTGTGGATAAGGGTCACTGAGAAGTAATACAAAAATAATATTTCATTATTTATAAAAGTAAGGAAGTTTTATAATCATAAGAGATGATAAATAAGTTTTTTGTCCTCAGAATAGAAAATTTACATTTGTGTTTTACGTTTTATACATCAAATAACAAATTTGGTTCCGTGTATACCTGTTGGTCTGTCTGATATTAAATCCATCTGATGGAAACATTAAATATATACTACAGTTATTCCGAATTTACTCAAACTTCTAAGGATTATAGGAGTTGGTAAATAAATGGTTCCATGTCAATTTCATTAAATTCCATCGACTACTTTCGTTCACGCACGTATAAATGTATTTTCTTAGATACACATATACGATTTTAAGAACTGCTTATTCGTTTTGGATCAAAAATGGAGTAGTTTTTTAATGGAAACCCAGATTTTTCCATTCGATGGATGAAATAAAATAAAATAAAAAAGAATGGGGCAGAACACGAATTCTCAGGGTATTACGTCGCAGGTTCGATTTCGCATAGGTATGGTGACGTCCTGGCATTGATAGAGCACATGGAGGTCAGCGAAACCTAAGATCACGTCTCCGGATCCTTCAGGTTAGGCTAATTATAATCCTATCCTACCAAAAACATCTTATTACGAAACCGTAAACTAATCTCGGATTAGGAAATCTCGGATCGGAGACCCAGATAGAGAAGGCTGGTTCAAGTAAAAAGGCCATCTACAAGCACTTTATAACCAAAAAACGAAAATAATGTAGCACACCCACTTCTTATTATTATGGGTGATAAATATTCAGGACGCAGTCATTATAAATTTTTAATTAGTACCGACGTTTCAACCCAAACATGTAGGTCCTCATCAGGGCAGACAATTTTTAAATACAATCATCAATATAATATAAATACAATCATAATATTTTACGACCAATAATGGTTGAGATATATAATGATTGATGATACATGAAATATACAAATGAAATATGTAAAAAGTTATACAAACTAAAAATAATGTATATAATAATTTATAAAAAAATGTAATATTTTCTCTTACTCACCGTGTTTCGAGCACTGAAGATATTCAAGTACTGACACTTTGGTAGGTGAGTAAAATGGTCGTGGGAGGATTTCCCAATTGTGCTTTTTCAGATAGCAAAAGGTAGGTAAACATAGTCAGAGGGTAAGGGAGGTTTCTGTTTGTAGAATAATTTGCTGTCTAAATATTCAAGATGTGTACAAGATTGGCTAGTAATGAAATGGACATAAGCAAGAGGCACCAATCAATATAAACATAACATAGTTTGATTGAAGGTATACAATAGTTAGCCAAATAATGTTTATAGTACAGACAATTGTAATGGATTGAAATGATAAATAAGACAATATATTATACAATATTTAAGGATAACAATATTAACCATAAAATAATATATTATATTAGGAATCACATAGATTTAATTGTATAAGCATAAATATATTTGTGCCTGTTTATACTATATATTTATATAGCTGGATATATATATATATAAACCACTTTTTATTATATTTTTGCTAGAGTAACTACAGAATCGGAAGAAGAGGTGGAACTACTTCTTTCTTTTTTTTCGTTTTTACATACCTTGTAGGCCTTTTTCACATTTATCTAGGACTATTCTTTTCCAGTTTGCTTGATGCAGCTCAGACTTCGTTTATTCCATCTTTGATTTTCTTTTTTTCCTTCCACATGGTCTTTTGTCAACGATTCAGACATTTATTCTTGTTTTGTGTGTGAGAGAGGCTTTCTGATGGATTTTATCGAGCTATGTAGCCCATCTTAACTCCCTTGCCTTCATATCGAGATATAGATTGGTCAGTTTCTATAAGCAATTGGTTCTTCAACGCCGTGTATCAGTGCTCTGATCCCATCGCTTCGGTTATAATGCTGAATTATTTTCTGTAAAATCTTTCAATATATTAGTGTGTTAAATAGAAAGATGGTAGTATAAAGTAGAGATTGGTGTATCAGAACTAGCTTTACTACAACATTATGCACAAAAATAGTTGTCAATTCGAGCCAAGTCAGGTGAATAAGATGTATGTGGTGGTAGAACTTCAATTTTCAGATCAATGTAATGTAATATATTTGAGAGTTAAATTTTAAAAATGTTACTCCCAATTCAGTGAAACTTCAAGCCTAACAACTTCACATAGCTTATAATTAAATTATGTTATGTTATCTCATGGTAATTGTAATGTTAAGAAAAACACACGCATTCCTCCAATTGGATCTCTTCCTTGAAATCAAATTCACAAATATATCT